TTGTGCTGCTCTGAAAGTGGAATTTGAGGAAGATTCCTGGTGTTCAAATGCCCAATTTTGGTCCTGTTTCAGGAATTCCTGGCTGGAAGGCTTGTCCTGAATTTTTATTTTTTTATTTTGGCGTGTCTGGATAGAAACCTCCTGCTCCAAAGGCTGGGATGGGGCAGAATTTTGGGAATAGTCCAGTAGATTGCACAGCTGGTGTTGATCTGCTCGGGTAGGGATGGAATTAACTTCTGCTGGGAGTTTTGTTTGGGATTTGGGAGCTGAGGTTGGCTTTCCCTGGGCTGGGAATGAGCCTGGAGTGGCTGAAGGGACATTCCATACCTGCAGAGTGTCCTTTTCCGTAGAAAAACTGGGATGGAGGAGTGGGAAAATGGAAGTTTGGCTTCCAGGATTGCACAGAGTGGGAGGAATAACTTTGCTTGGGTTTTGGGTCCCTTTTTTCCCCCGTGGTTTTATCTTATCCCAGGAATTTTCTTATTCAAGTGCTTCCTTTCCCATCTTGGTCCTTTTTTTAGGATCTGCTGCTTTCAGGCTTTACAATTCCAGCTCAGCCTTTGCTGTTCTCTTTTCCCTGGGAAATCCAAATTTCCAGGCTGGGATTTATCCTTTTCCCATTATCCAGGTGCTCCAGGACCATTCCCATTGTGCCTTCCTCTTCCTCCTCATCCTCCAGGACACCTCCCGATCCCTTGTGTGTCCCGGTGTGGCTGGAACATTCCCAGGCTCTTGGAATTCCAAATCCACTGATCCCAGCTGAGATCCTGCTGGATCTGAAGCTGGTAACCGGAGTGTCCCCAGGGAGGATTTTACCTGGAGCCGCTTTCACCTCTCAAATCCTGGGAATTTTTGCCTGAGGGCAGGTGATTCTGCTGGAATGGCAGACCCTGGAATGCCAGACCACCTGGATCTGTCACGCTCCGCTGGATTTGGGCCATGCAGGAGGAGCTGGAAGATCCCAGGATGGAGGGATAATATGGATGGACACCACGGATAACCCGGAAAATCCAGGAGCTCCTGCTGGAACTGGGATGTCCCCTTGAGCTGGGGTTGTGCTGGCAAGGGCAAGTCTGGAGGTGACAATCCCAGAGATCCACCCAGGGGGTGGTGAACTGCCCAGAGCCATCTCGGAAAGAATTCCCAGATGCAGGAAAAGGGCTGGGAATGCCTTGCCCGAGCCCTGACCTTGATGAGAGAACATCTGGGCTGCTGTGGATGAGGAATTCCCCAGAGGGAAGGACCATGGCACCCTCTGGATGCCATTGTGGTGTTGGGCAGCACGGGAAGGAGGAAGAGAATCCAGGTTTTTTCAAAACATTCCAAGATTTTGCCATCAAACAAAGGAAGAGCAGGGAATCTCCAAAGGAGACGCAGGTCTTGGGACTGGACACAGATCCATGGGGATGTGGTCAGTTCTGGAAAAGCTCTTGGAAAGGCACAGCAGCTTCCCAGGCATGGCTTTGGTTCCAGCTTTGTTTATCTGCTCTGGAGTTAGCACAGAGCCAGAAAATTCCATGCTATTTATAGGGACAAATCAGGAAATTGTCCTTTTGGAATTTCCTTTTGGATGAACCTTCTGTGGGGCGGGAGAAATCTGCTTCTGCCCTCTCCTGAGGCTCCTGGAGAAAAAGAGGCTCCACAGGGACCTTGTGGCTCTCCACGACTCCCTGACAGGGAGGGGGATTTGGGATCTGATCCCAGGGAATTACAGGATAAGAGGGAGCGGCCTCAGGCTGGGCCAGGGGAGGCTCAGGGTGGACATCAGCAGCAATTTCCTTATGGAAAGAGTGCTCAGGCCTTGGAAGTGCCCAGGGAGGTTTGGAGTGCCCATCCCTGGAGGTGTCTGAGGAATTCCTGGATGTGGCACTCAGTGCCAAGGTGGGCATCGGGCATGGCTTGGACTGGATGGTCCCAAAGGTGTTTTCCAGCCGGGATAATCCCAGGATTCTGTGCTGGTGCAGGTTCCTTGCCCTTTTCCTTCGTGCAGGAATTCTTGCTCCAGATCTGTCTCTTCCTGCAGCAGAGCCTTGTGCAGGTGCTGCAAACACCAGGGAGAGCTTAAAATCCAGAACTTTCCATTTCTCCATCTGTATTGGGAAGCCTGGAAAAGTGGAGGCGGGAAGTTGAGGGGAAAGCAAGGAAGGCATCGTTTGGCTTTTGTGTGGTGCTCTGAAATTCTGGGATTGCCGTTCCCAGGGATCAGCTGGGAATGTTCTCCTGGAGAAGGGAACGCTCCCGGGAGAGCTGAGAGCCTAAGGGAGAGCTGGAGAGGGACTTGGGACACGAGAGATGGAGGGACAGGACACAGGGAATGGCTTGAAATGGGAAAAGTAGAGTTTGGGCTGGGATCTTGGCAAGGAATTCCCGCCTGGGAGAGTGGGGAGGGGCTGGGCTGGAATTCCCAGGTTTGCTGTGGCTGCCCCTGGATCCTGGCAGTGCCCAAGGCCAGGTTGGACATTGGCGCTTGGAGCACCCTGGGATGGTGGAAGTATCCCTGATCTGGGGGTGGGATTGGATGGGATTTAAGCTCTTTTCCCACCCAAACCATTCCATGATTCCACCTGATCTCCGTTCAGTGTCGCCGCAGCGCCAGCTCGGAGCTCGGTCCCTGCTGTGGTGTCCCTGTCCCAGCAGTGGCCCTTCTGAGGCTCCGACACTTTCCAAACAAAGCTGCCTGGAAGAGGAAGGTGAGGCTCTCCCTGATATCTCCAGACCATTGTTTACTCCATCTTGGCATTTCCTTAGAAGCATTTCCAGCATTTCCTTTGGAAAGGTCACTCAGGAGCTCCTTGTCCGCAGCCCTTCCCAGAATCCTGGACTGGTTTAAGTGGGAAGGGACCTCAAATCCCATCCAATGCCACCCCCTGCCATGGGTGGGGACATTTCCCATAAACCAGGTTGCTCCAGGTCTTTCTCAGCCTGGATCCCATCCCTGGGCAGGCTAACGAGCTGAGGTTTGCAGAGGTGAGTTGTTATTCCCCACCCTGCTGTGGGAGCTTCCCTGCTCCCAGGTGTCCGTGTGAGATGGAAATACCTGGAGAGGTAAAAACTCATCCTATGGGAATTCTGGTTTTTTACCTCCTTCGAGAGATTCCTGATCTGTGGAATTAAGGTTGGTGGTGTTTCAGATTTCCTCTGCTGATCCGTTTGAGGTTGTCCTGGTGGTGGGTGGCTTTGACAGTGTTCCTTCTCCAAGTGCTTCCCAATGGGGATGGGCTCAGAAGGAATTTTTGTCCTCCAGTGCTGGGAATTCTGGAGAAAACACACACGGAAAGACAGGGGAATGTTGAGTCACATTTGTTTGGAAATCTTCTGGAGCGAACTTGGCTTTCACATGCAGCTCCTGTTGAAATCTAATTTAATTTATGGAGGGAGGAGGAATATTGGGTGAGAGGCTGGAATTTTGGGACTGCTGGCTGGTGGGAATCTGCTTATTGTTTGCTTGGAGAGGATTAATAGGATTCCTGTGTCTCCTGAGCCTGAACAGTTTGTACTTGGTTCAAATTAAATAATTCCTCAAAACAACTCACAGCCAGATGGGAACAAACTCCGGGAATTATGCTGGAAAATCCTCCTCTCCTGCACCTGTGTTCGGTCACTCTCTGTAACGTTTACTCCTTGAGCTGCGATCTCAGTGTGAATCTCTGCTCGTGGGAAAACTTCCAGCTGGAGTCAACTTCCACGAGTTTGGAAATCAAAATCCTGTGACGACGTCGGCGTTGGTGAGACAAGAACCTCGGCGCTGCAGGAACTCAGCGTGGAGCTTCAGGAACAGCCAGGAAAACTCCTGGGAAACCTGCAAGAAGAGTCCAGTTCCAGGAGACAACAAATGGACAAGGGGGAGATGAGGAATTCCCGGGTTTGGAGTTTTCCTGGTTTGGGCTGGGACGGGGCTGGGAGTTTTTGCAGCTGCTGCTCTGGCAGTGCCGTGTTTGGGGTTGGGAACGGGGCCGGAGCTGGGAACGCGCTGATGTTGTGGCTGCTGCTTTGTCCTCGCCCTAAATCCAGAATTCCCAGTGTCCTCGCTCGGTCCTCGAGGAGCTGCACAAGGACTTTGCTGCTCTTTGGTGTTTCACTGGTCTCGCTCTCCATCCCTGACCTGCTTGGACGGGTCTTGGAGCATCCTGGGATAATGGGAGGTGTGGAATGGGATGGGCTTTAAGGTCCCTTCCAGCCCCCAGCCCTGTGTGATTCTTCTTCCAGAGCTCTGTGGTGTTTCCTTTTCCTCTCCCTGTATTTGTACCTTCTTTTCCCACCTCACAGCACTGAATTCTCAGTGATTTCACCCAAACCAAGCCCCACTTCCACTGACCACGGTGCTTTTTGTGTGGAGATTTTGTTGTTGTTGCTCCTGTACAGTTTGACTCCTCTCTGTTTCCAACCCTTTCCATTTAAGCTCTCGGAGAGATCGGATATTTTCTACCCACAGAATTGCAGCCTCATCCCACCCTGTGAATTCTTGCAGGGTTTGCTCTTCACCCATGAGAGTGCTCATGGGAGTGTCCTCCTGGAAACGGCTCCGGCCTCGGCTCAGCTCCACCCAGCTGGAACTGGTTGGAGTTCTCCATCTAAGTGGTTCTACTTCCAACTCATCCCTCGTCACCCTTCCAGCAGGGGTGTTTCACGCTTTGCCTTGCTGCTCCTAAAATTATTAATTGTAATTAAACACAAACTCTGTTGTCACAAAGAAGTGAAATGTTAGGTGTCGCCAGGTGTTAAGCGATGCTGTTGCAAGTGTCACCACCAGTTGTGTTCCCTGTGACATCCACCTTGTTGGGTTAAGCTTGTTAATCACCTGTTTAATTGATTAATCACCTGTTCTCTATATTTAAGATTTTAAACAGTGAAAGAAAACGGGTTTTTTGTGAATTTTGAGTGCTTTAAACTGTGGTGCAAATCCCGCTTCTGTGCCTCGGGTTGCTTTTCTCCCCGTCCTAGAAGCTGCTGTGAGCAGATGCCAAAGATGACCCATCTAATCCTTGTCTTTTAACTTGCAGCTTTGTGTTGTTCTTGGAAAGTTTCGCACCACTTGTGAATTCCCTGAACCTTGGCCTTGCCAGCCCCCTTGTGTTGGGCCCTCCTCCTTTTCAGCTTGCCCAAATTAAGACCCACTTGGCTCTCCAGCACTTGGCTGCCAGCGGCGGGCGGGCAGCTCCCCACGCTGGCGCCCGCCAGGCATTGCTGAAAGACGCAATGTTTAGCCCCAGAGGAACCTTGCCCCCGAGGCCCAGAGGACCCAACCCGTCGGGCAGCAAACCCCCGGGAGGTTTTGGGGCCGGAGGCGCGGCGGGGCCGCCCAGGAAAGCCGCACCCGCGACGCCCCAAGGAGCGCCCCAGAGATTCTCGGGGCAGGACGGGCTGCAGTGGACGGGTTCGCAGAGGATCAACGTCCGCGTCACGCTGCACAGGGCCGATCCCAGGAAGGTCAAGGAGAAGACCGGCCTGCACCAGGAGCAGAAGGGAGAGCCACGCGCCAGTCGCTGGGATGGCGGCCCCTGCCCCGCCAGCACCGCCGGGCCGAAGCCGCCCGGCCCAGCGCCGGTCTTGGAGCAGAACTCCAACCCCCAGAACCGCTACACGCCTGAAAGCGCCTCCAGCATTTTAGCGAGCTTCGGGCTGTCCAACGAAGACCTGGAGGAGCTGAGCCGCTACCCCGATGACCAGCTGACGCCCGAGAACATGCCACGGATCCTGCGGGAGATCCGCATCCGGAAGATGGGCCACGCCGTGTCTGGTCTGCACGCTCCGAGCCGGGGGGAGGAGCCGGTGGGCGAGAGCAGCGGCACCACCGTCAAGAGCAAAGTGATCGACTACGGCCACGCCAGCAAGTACGGCTACACCGAGGACCCGCTGGAGATCCACACCTACAACCCCGAGGCGCTGCCCGAGGAACCGCTGGAAGCGCGCGTCTACAATCCCGAAAGCTCAAGCGCGGAGATCCGGGAAGAATTCCAGCGGGAGCAGAGCGTGCCGGTGGCCGTCCCGCCGCCCAACGTGCCGTGCAACCCCGTGTTCCCGGCCGAAGACCTCATCAAGCTGCCGGCTTTCCCCACTGACTCCTCTCCCACTCCGTCGTTTTTCCCGGCCGAGCCGCCGGCCAAGGTGCCGGTGCTGTGCAGCACTGCGCCCGCCGCGCTGCCGGTGGTGAAGCCGGTGTCCCAGCCGCCCATGCCGCCGGTGCTGCCGCCCATACTGCCGGCGCTGCTGCCCACGCCGCTGCCGCAGCCCATGCTGCCCCCGGTGATGCCGCCGCTGGTCCAGCCGCCCGTGTCCCAGCACGTGTTGCCGCCCTTGACGCCGCCGCCCTTCTCGGCCGGGCTCCTGGCCGCCATCAGCCAACACGAGCAGAAGCAGCGCGACGCCGGCAGCGCCCATCCCGGGCCCAGCACTGCCGGCGGGACCTCGGCGGGACACAAACCCTACCACAAACCCTTCCACCCACCGGCACAGGAGCCCATCAAATCCCCGTTCGGGGTGGTGAAGGCGTCCTGGCTGCCCGTGTTCCCCGACCAGAAGAGCAAACGCCTGCCCACCCCGTCCATGATGAACGACTACTATGCCACGTCGCCGCGAATATTCCCACATTTGTGTTCTCTGTGTAACCTTGAATGCACTCATATGAAGGTGAGTGGCTTTCCCAGATTATTCCCTAAGCGTGTGTACTCGGCACCTTTTCCTGCTGCTGGTTGTTTTTCCTGGGAATTCCGTGGATTGGGATGCTGGTCGCCAAGTTTGAATGTTGGGAATGGTGCTGGAAATGATTGTAACGGCGTGTTCTGCTCCCAGTTGCATTTCAGAGTTGCTTTACATGTTGATTTTTGGGAGTTTTTTTAAGTATTGAAATGTTTTTGGTTTTGCAGCAGGTTTCAAACAACAAAACAAACCTCAAGCAGTGGAATGAAATATTCATGTTGTGTGTGGGGGACTCAGATCATGTCTGGGGGCGGGTGAGATGTCTGTGTGTTCATTCCCCCCCTCCTCCTCCTCCAAACTCTGCCTGAAAACAAAAGAGCCCATTTAGAACCCGAAATTTCATCTTCCAAATCTGCTCTGTGTGACAACGCTGAATATTCCAGAGGCTGGCTCGGGGCGACGCAGAAAATGCGTCCATTCATCCTGCCGGCTTTCAGCCTTGAAGGAAATCACAGTTTCAGCTTTGAAGGAAAAAATAAAGGGAGAAAATGGTGGCCGTTGGGAGATAAAAAATGTTTTGGAAGCTGTGTGTTTTTCTGGAAAAGCCTGAGGTTTGATCTGTCAAAAAGGTGGGAGAACGTGATATTAAAAAACCAGAGTAATTAATTAATAATTATTTAATATATTTGGATTGCAAAGTGTGGAGAGGCTGTGGGGGAGGGATTTTTGTAATTTGGCAAAATCCTGGAGATTTTAGGCTCTGTTTGCTGTGCATTAAAAATCTGGCTGAAAATGGGAACGGCTTTGTTAGGGAAAACCAAACAGAAATTCCCAAACCCTTTTTCCCAGGAAGCGCTGACGGCCAGGGAGGTGGGCAGCTGGAAATTGGAAGAGAAGGATGATTTTAAATAAAAATGGGTAAATTGAACAGGAAAATGAAAATAGGGACACGTTAACAAAGGGGAAAAGCAGTTTGGGAAAAGGAAGTTAATTTAGATGGGAATTCTTCTCATGTTTAAGGAGGGAAATGTTGTCACTAAACATCTGTTGGCAGATCAGCTCTGGCTGGGGGTTTTGGGCTGGATTAAAGCTTGTGCAGTCTTGTCCTGGTGGCACTGGGGTGGGATGTGTTCCCAGGAATCCTGATCCTACTGTAGCCTCCCAAATCTGCTCCCTGTCCTGTAGCTCTGGCCCCGATTCCCTTCCCTTGGGAAGCGTTTGGTGTTTGTCTCCCAGGGACACAGGAGACCTCCCTGGACCAGCCCTGGTGCAGAAGAACCCACAAGAGTTTGGGAATTTTATCCCAAAAATAAAACTGATGAAGAAATGTCCAGCTGGTGTATCCATGAGTTGCAGAGATTGAAGAATTCCTCTCAATTCCAGCTCTGCACTTCAGCAAATCTGGTCGGTCCTGGGTGGTTGGAGATGAGCTGGACATTCAAGATTTGTCTTCCCAACCGTTCCCTGTCCCGTTCTGGGAGAGATGGATGGGACCTCAGTTGGGAAGAGCCACTGGATCTGGTGATTCCCAAGGACTTGAGACATTTGATGCTGTCCCAGGTGGCATGGCTGTCCCCAGCCTGGAGAAAGGGATTTCATGGATGGTGGCACTTGGAGTTGTCACCAGCTCCACGCCCAGGTGGGACCAACCACCCCAGGATTGGCATCAGCACCGTTCAACGTCTCCATCGGTGACAAGGACACCGGGATTGGTCACCCTTGGCATGGTGAAGGTGACACCAAGCTCTGCACTGGGATCACACCTGGAGGGATTTTCCGTGACAGCCTGGAGAGCTTGGACCATCCCAACCTCGTGAGGCTGCGAGGGCAGGAGCTCCTTGGGGCAGGACAATCCCAGCACAGATCCAATCTTCCAGGTGGGAAGAGAGTGATTGGAGCAGCCCTCGGAGAAGGACTTGGGCTGTTGTGGATGGGAAGCTCCAAATATCGAGACAGATCCCTGTGCCCTGGGCTGATCCCGCAACGTGGGCAGCGGGAAAGGTGGGAGTTCTGCCCAGCTGAGACCCCGCCTGCAGAGCTGCCTCCAGCTTTGGGGCAACATCAGGAGGACCTGGAGCTGCCGGAGCAAATCCAGAGGAGGCCGTGGAGGTGCTCTGGAGCCAGCTTGGGAGAGCTGGGAATGTTCACCCGGAGAAGGGAAAAATCCAGGGAATCATCAGAGTCCCTGCAGGGGCTCCAGGAGAGCTGCAGAGGGACTGGGGACAAGGGACAGAGGGACAGGACACAGGGAATGGCTGCCACTGGCCAAGGGGAGATTGGGCTGGGATCTGGGCAAGGAATTGCTGGCTGGGAGGGTGGGCAGGGGCTGGGCTGGAATTCCCAGAGCAGCTGTGGCTGCCCCTGGATCCCTGGCAGTGCCCAAGGCCAGGTTGGATGGATTTGGATCCACCTGGGATTGGGGAAGGTGTCCCTGCCGTGGCAGGAGTGGGAATGGGATGGGTTTAGGGTCCCTTCCAACCCAAACTGTTCCATGATTCTGGGATAACAGGAACCAACATTGGATGATGATGCTGAAGGTGCTCAACAATGAAAACCTTCTCTGTCCCATGTCTGAAGACCCTGAAACCAAAATTCCAAAGATAACAGGAGCCAACATTGGATGATGCTGAAGGTGCTCAACAATGAAAACCTTCTCTGTCCCATGTCTGAAGACCCTGAAACCAAAATTCCAACAACGGGTTCTGAGTTCAGGCTGTTGGTGCTGAGCTCCATTTTTCCATGGATTTTCCCATGGATTTTTAAAATCTGCTCTTGGATTGACTCATTTTGGATCCGACCATGCCGCATTGCCCGTGAGAAGAGAATTCCAGCCACTGGACTATGAAACCCAGAGGTTCCCACCTGGATGTGGGATATTCATCCCAGCATCGTCCCTCCAGTTTGGCTGTGCCAAAACTCTGGAAGTTAAATTTTCCCTGGAAAAAAATTCCTCCTAGATGTCATTTTTACAGATTTCTGGTGCATTTTAAGGTTTTGGGGTTTTTTTGGTCTAGAAGCCACAAGTTTTGGTATTTCCCACCGGCATCCAGAGTTTTTTATGGAAAATGGATAATTTTCACCTTTGAAGCAGGCAGGTCCAAAATATTGGGAATTTGTAGAAAAAATGGTGGAAATTTGTGGAGGTGTCAGTGGAAGGGTGGTGGGCTTGGGGCAGCAGCAGAATTTGGCAGATTTGGCCTCATTTTGATCTCAGGCAGGAAGGGATGTGGTGAGAGGTTGGACTCTGATCTTGAGGAACCTTCCTGTGGGATCCTCAGGGGTGGCTGTGAGGAGGTGCAGCCACACCAAGGTGGATTTTGGGGCATTAAAATCAGAATTTGAGGCAAAAATCGATGCTTGGGCCAGATATTCCCAAAAATCGTTGTGTCCTGGGTGTTTTTTTAGGTCAAAATTCCCAATTCCGCTCGGGGATAGGCGGAGTCTGACCCCGCTGCTGTTCCCTTTCAATTCTGATTTCCCAAATCCTCAAAATCTCGAAGGATTTTATGGATGTTCCATGGAGCAGCTTCGTTTTTCGCTCAGAATTGCGTCCTGTGGGAATAACAAAGCGGGATTTGTGGGATTCCTCCTTCTCCAAACACTTCACGTCTTGGATGGAGCAGATTTCTCGGAATAACAACGATTCCTTCATCCTCCATCCCCTCACGTCTGGAATGAAGAGGATTTGAGACATTCCCAGCACGAGGAATCGGATTTATCCTTATTTTTATCCACTTTTGTTCCCCAAATCTGTTCAAAGTTGGGGGTGATGCCTCCTTGGACCTCAAATCTGTGAAATCCTTGGGATTTTCATTTTTCCATGAAGATTTGCACTCGGAATTCCTTTATTGGACACTTTGCTCCGCCACCTTCTGCTTCCAGGATTTCTTGGTGGTGATCCATGAGTGAGAGGAGGTTGGGATGGAATTAGGGAAGGTGGGAATGGAGGAGTTCAGATGGAATTTTTCTTCTCACCAGGATTTATGGGAAGGGATCCTCTTATTTTAGGGGAAGGACTTCTTTGGATCCCAGGAAAAATCGTGGCTGTTCCATCCCTGGAATGTCCAAATCCGGGCTGGATGGGGCTTGGATCAACCTGGGATAATGGGATCATCTTTAGGTTCCCTTCCAACCCAACCATTCCATGATGATTCCGTGGGCAGTGCATTATTCCCAAAGAGTGGGAAGCGCCAGGAATGAGGCAAAAAGGAGGAAAATCCATAAATCCAGAGGGTTTTGGATTCTGTGGACAGTGGAATATTCCCAAAGAATGGGAAGAGTTAGGAATGAGGCAAAAAGGAGGAAAATCCATAAATCCAGAGGGTTTTGGCTGGCGAGGACCTGGCAAGGAGAAGAAGATTCCCAAAAGTCTTGCATCAGCAGCTGGAGGGATTTGGGAGCCAAAACCCCTCCTTGGCACCGTGGAATTGGAATTCTGGGAGTCAAATTCCCTTTTCATTCCCACCGAGTTTTCCTTGAGGAACAGCTTTGGTTTATCCTGGTGAAAGTGAAGCCTGGAAAGATCCGGATCTTTGGGAATGGGATTGCTTAGGGATGGCCTGGAATTAGGGAAAACCTGCTTGGAATGCTGAAATTGCTGCTTTATCCACGTGGGAATGATTCCATCATCCCGACTCTTCAGATCCATTATTTTATATTAATTATTCCATATTTGATTGGGATTTATGATCTAAGAGCAGCTGGAAGTTGATTTTTTTTTTTCCCCAAGGATATTTAATAATTCTCATTGCTGATGTTCCACCTTGAAGAATTCCAGAGTTTTCCAAGGAATATCCCTTCTCTGTAGAAAACTGTCTCCTTTTGTTCCCAGCTCCCTGTCAATATTCCCAGTTAAACCCAAGTTTAGGCATTTTTATACGGAATGAAATCCTATTTTTATCAGATTTTTTAAATGATAAAGGAGCATGAAAAACATCCCGAGGCTCTGGAATGACCTTTGAGCTGTGACATGATGGGAACTGAACATTCCCGGAGCTCCAGGCACGGAAATTCCGGGCTGGGAATGAGATTGGATGTGGAGATGCCCCATTTGGAGGAGCTGGAATTGCTCATGGATGTGGCAGCAAATCCTGGATTTATTCCCTTTCATTCTGATTTTTTTGGAGCAGCCTCCGGTGATCCACGTGCTGCTGCCATCCCCAGCGAGGGGGTGGCTTAATTGAGGAATTAATCGATTTAATGAGGTGATTGAATTAATTAATGCAATCCATTGATTGAATTCATCAGTTTAATTGAGGCTCCTGTTCTGGAGCAGTGATAATCAGCTTTTAACCTCCTGCCTGAATTCCATGGAAATTTGACTTTGCCGAGGTAAAAAGGGGCTGGAAAGTGCAAAACCAGCCCCAAGGGATTGGGGTGATCCCGGGGTTTTCCACCCTGATCCCGCTTTTCCCAATGTTCTTTTTGCCCCCAGGATTGGATCCTGCACCAGAACAACCCCGCCCACCTCGAGAGCTGCCGCAGGCTGCGCCAACAGTAAGGGATCCACTGGGATCTGATGGGAATCCATTGGGGATCTGATGGGAATTCATTGGGATCTGATGGGAATCCTCTGGGGATCATTGGGAATCCACTGGGATCTGATGGGAATTCACTGAGGATCTGATGGTGATCCATTGGGGATCTGATGGGGATCCACTGGGGATCTGATGGGAGTCCATTGGGATCTGATGGGAATCCATTGGGATCTGATGGGAATCCACTGGGGATCATTGGGAATCCATTGGGGAATCCATTCGGGATCCACTGGGGATCTGATGAGAATCCACAGGTGATCTGATGGGAATTCACTGGGGATCATTGGGAATCCTCTGGGGAATTCATTTGGGATCCATTGGGGGATCCATTGGTAATCCACTGGGGAATCCATTTGGGATCCACTGGGGATCTGATGAGAATCCACAGGTGATCTGATGGGAATTCACTGGGGATCATTGGGAATCCTCTGGGGATCTGATGGGAATCCACTGGGGATCCATTTGGGATCTGACGGGAATCCATTGGGGATCCACTGGGGAACCCATTGGGAAATCTGCTGGGGATCCACCCAGGATCTACTGGGGATACACTGGGGAATCTGCTGGGAATCCATTGGGGAATCCACTGGGCGTTTTTCCCTTTGTCATCAACAGGTATCCCGAGTGGAATCCTGAGGCTCACTCCTCCAGCAGGTACCTTGTGATTTTAATTCCTTCTCTTAATTACCCACTAATAATTAATTAATTTTTACCAATTATTTTCTCTGATTTGCCCTCTCCAACCCCTCTCCATAAGGTCACATTTTTATTATAAAATTTTGGGGCCTTTTTATGGAATTCTGGCCCAAATTCCATAGAATTCAAAGCTGGTTTGGGTTGGAGGGACCTTAAATTCCACATTTTTATCCATTTTTTCCAGCTTTTCCTTTTTTTTCTGTTTTTTTTTCGAGTTTTTTCCGGTTTTTCCCATTTTTCCAATTTATCTAGTTTAGTCCAGATTAGTCCAGTTTTGTCCAGTTTTGTCCATTTTTCCCCAGTTTCTTAATTTTTTCCAGTTTTATCCAATTTTGTACCTTTTATTCCTGTTTAATCCTGTTAAATCCAGTTTAATCCAGATTTTCCCCAGTTTCCTCTGTTTTTCTCTATTTCATCCAGTTTTTTCTAGATTTTTCCAGTTTAGTCCAGTTTAGTACAGTTTTGTCCATTTTTCCTGGTTTAGTCCTGTTTTATCCCTTTTATTCCAGTTTCATCCATTTAAGTCCATTTTTCCTTTTTTTTTCATTTTTCCCTTTTTTTCAATTTTTTCCCTGTTTTCCAATTTTCCCCCATTTTTTTCCCATTTTTTTTTCTTTTTTTCCATCCTTTCACTTATTTTTCTTTTTTTTCCATTTTTTCCCCATTTTTCAAATGTTCCCTTTTTTTCCATTTTTTAAATTTTTCCATTTTTTCAATTTTTTCTTTTTTTTCCTTTTTTCCATTTTAATTTTTTTTTCCATTTTCTTGGAACTTGGATCAGTTTTATCCAGTTTTTCCAGTTTAGTCCAGTTTTATCCCTTTCATTCCAATTTGATCCTGTTAAGTCCCATTCAGTCATTTTTTCCATTTTTTCCACTTTTATCCATTTTTTCCATTTTTTTCCCCTTTAGTCCAGTTTAATCATTTTTTCCCAGTTTAGTCCACTTTCATCCCTTTCATTCCAGTCTGATCCCATTAAATCCCATTCAATCATTTTCCCATTTCTTCCACTTTTATCCAGTTCAGTCCAGTTCAATCCATTTTTCCCAGTTTAGTCCGGAGTTTTTTCTCCCTTCGAAGTTTTTTCCACCCCCAGTGGGAATTTTGGGAATTCACTGGGATTCATGATGGTTTGTTGATCCCTGACCAGAATTTTGGGAATGCTCAGTGGGGTTCCCAAAGTTTTCACCACCCCCAGTGGGAATTTCAGGAGTGCTCGGTGGGGTTTCCGAAATTTTCTTCATCCCCAATGGCAATTTTGGGAATTCTCAGTGGGATTCCCAAATTTTTCTTTACCCCCAGTGGGAATTTTGGGAATTCTCTGTGGGGTTACCGGGGTTGGCTTCAGCTGCAGTGAGGATTTTGGGAGTTTGCTGGGATTCATGATGGTTTTTTGATTCCTGGTCAGGATTTTGGGAATTCTCAGTGGGATTCTTGTTGGTTTTTCACTCCCAATGGAAATTTTGGGAATGCTCTATGGGGTTCCCAAAGTTTTCTTTACCCTCAGTGGGAATTTTGGGAATTCGCTGGGATTCACGATGGTTTTTTCACCCCTGATCAGAATTTGGGATGTGGGAAGGGATTTGGAGATGATTTATTCCACAATCCCGTCCCACCTTCCCTTGGAATTCCGGGATTCCAGTAAGATTTACTTCAGAATTCCAACAATTCCAGTCCAACCTTCCCTTGGAATTCCGGGATTCCAGTAAGATTTATCTCACAATTCCAACAATTCCAGTCCAACCTTCCCTTGGAATTCCGGGATTCCAGTAGGATTTATCTCACAATTCCAACAATTCCAGCCCAGCCTTCCCTTGGACACTTCCAGGGATGAAAAATTCCTGGAATTCTGGAATTCCATCAGGATTTATTCCCTAATTCCTACAATCCCAGCCCAACCTTTCCAGGGATGAAAATTCATGGAATTACAGAATTCCATCAAGATTTATTCCACAATCCCAGGTGGCTCCAATTCCAATCCAGCCTTTGCTTGGACACTTCCAGGGATGGAAAAATCTTGGAATTCCATCAAGATTTATTCCACGATTCCCACAATCCCAATCTTCCAATCCAAGGTGGCTCAAATCCATCCTTTCCTTGGATGAAAAATTCCTGGAATTCTGGAATTCCATCAGGATTTATTCCACAATTCCAGCCCAACCTTTCCTTGGAATTCTGGAATTCCATCGAGATTTATCCCACAATCCCAGGTGGGGGATTTCCTTGGACACTTCCAGAGATGGAAAATCCTGGAATTCTGGAATTCCATCGGGACTTATTCCACAATTTCCCCAATCCCAGGTAGCTCCAACCAGCTTTTCCTTGGACACTTGTAGGGATGAAAAAATCCTGGAATTCCATCAGGATTCATTCCACAATCCCAGGTGGCTCCAATTCCAATCCAGCCTTTCCTTGGACGATTCCAGGGATGAAAATCCTGGAATTCCATCAGGATTCATTCCACAATTCCCACAATCCCAGGTGGCTCCAGTCTTTTCCTTGGACACTTTTAGGGATGACAAATTCCTGGAATTCCATCAGGATTTATTCCACAATTCCCACAACCCCAACCTTCCAATCCAAGGTGGCTCAAATCCATCCTTTCCTTGGATATAAAATTCCTGGAATCCTGGAATTCCATCAGGATTTATTCCACAATTCCCCCAATCCCAGATGGCTCCAATCTTTTCCTTGGACACTTGTAGGGATGACAAATTCCAGGAATTCTGGAATTCCATCAGGATTCATTCCACAATTCCCCCAATCCCAGGTGGCTCCAATCCAGCCTTTCCTTGGATTAAAGAAATCCTGGAATTCCATCAGGATTTATTCCACAATCCCAGGTGGCTCCAATTCCAATCCAGCCTTTCCTTGGACGCTTCCAGGGATGAAAATCTTGGAATTCCATCAGGATTTATTCCACAATTCCCACAATCCCAGGTGGTTCCAATCCAACCTTTCCTTGGACACCTCCAGGGATGAAAATCCTGGAATCCTGGAATTCCATCAGGATTTATTCCACAATTCCCCCAATCCCAGGTGGCTCCAATCCAAGGTGGCTCCAATCCAACCTTTCCTTGGATTAAAGAAATCCTGGAATTCCATCAGGATTCATTCCACAATTCCCCCAATCCCAGGTGGCTCCAATCTTTCCCTTGGACACTTGTAGGGATGACAAATCCCAGGAATTCCGGAATCCCACCCAGCTTTCCTCCCCAGCCCCCTCCAGCCTCCCCCGCCCCCGGCAGTGCCAGAGCCGCGGGAATGCGGGATTTGGGATCGTGTGTGTTGCAGCTGCTGCGGGAGGAGCTGCTGAGCTGCGGCACCGTGCTGCACATCTCGGAGCTGCCGGACTCGGGCTTCTCCGACCAGGACATCAAGCGGCTGGTGCAGCCCTTCGGGAAGGTCAGCGACCTCATCGTGCTGCGCTCCCGCAACGAGGTCAGCGCCAGCGGGGTCGGGATGGGGAATGGGAATGGGGGTTCTGGGATTGGGAATGGGGGTTCTGGGATTGGGAGTTCTGGGAGTTCTGGGATTGGGAATGGGGGTTCTGGGATTGGGAGTTCTGGGAGTTCTGGGATTGGGATTCCTTCCTTCCGTCCTTCCTTCCCTCCCCTTCATTCTCCTTTCCCCTTCCCCCTCCTTTTTTCCCTTTACTCTCCCTTTTTTTCCTTTTTTCCCATTTTTTCTCCCTTTCCCTCCTTCCCTTTCCCTGCACTCTTTGATCCCTCCCTGCAATTCCCAATCCCGCCGGGATTTCCCCCCCCGCCCCGGAATTCCGGCAGTTCCGGGAGCTGGGCCATTCCCTGTGTTCCAGGCCTACCTGGAGATGAACTACAAGGAGGCCGTCATCGCCGCCGTCAAGTTCGGGGAGACGGCGCCGGTGCTGCTCAACGGGAAACGCGTCCGGATCAGCGTGGCCGAGAGAGCGCCGGTGGGAATGCCGGCCGCGAGCGGGAATTCCGGCCGGGAATGCCGGCCGCGAGCGGGAATTCTGATCAGGAATTCCGGCCAGGAATGCCGGCCGGGAGCGGGAATGCCGGCCGGGAATTGCGGCCGGGAATGCCGGCCGGGAGCGGGAATTCTGATCAGGAATTCCGGCCAGGAATGCCGGCCGGGAGCGGGAATGCCGGCCGGGAATTGCGGCCGGGAATGCCGGCCGGGAGCGGGAATTCTGATCAGGAATTCCGGCCGGGAATTCCAACCGGGAGCGGGGATTCCAGCTGGAATCTGGGAATTCCAGCCAGGAATTCCAGCCGGGAGCAGGGAATCCGGCCGGAATCTGGGAATTCCAGCCAGGAATTCTGGCCGGGAGCGGGGAATCCAGCCAGGAATTCCAGCTGGGAGCAGGGATTCCAGCTGGAATCTGGGAATTCTGACCAGGAATTCCGCTTGGGAGTGGCAATTCCAGCCAGAATCTGGGAATTCCAGCCAGGAATTGCGGCCGGGAGCAGGGAATCCAGCCGGGAATTCTGACCAGGAGTGGGAATTCCAGCCAGGAGGAGGAATGTTGGCTGGGAATGGCACCTGGAAAATGAGGGTGGGAGCAGCAATTCCCACTGGGAATTCTGGCCAGGAGAGGGAATTCCAGCTGGGAATTGCAGCTGGGAGAGGAAATTCCAGCCAGGATTCCAGCTGGGAATTCTGAGCAGGAGGAGCAGTTCTGACCAGGAGAGGGAATTCCAGTTGGGAGTGGGAATACTGGCTGGGAATGGCACCTGGAAAATGAGGGTGGGGGTGGCAATTCCCACTGGGAATTCTGCCTGGGAGCAGGGATTCCAGCCGGGAATTCTGAGCAGCAGTGGGAATTCCAGCCCAGGATTGGGGAATTCCATCCAGGAGAGGGAATTCCAGCCAGGAGTGGGAATATTGGCTGGGAATGGCATCTGGAAAATGAGGGTGGGGATAGCAATTCCCACTGGGAATTCCAATCAGGAATTCCAACCGGGAATTCTGACCGGGAGTGCCCATTCCAGGTGGGAATTGCAGCTGGGAGAGGAAATTCCAGCTGGGAATTCTGAGCAGGAGAGGGAATTCCAACCAGGAATTCCGACTGCAAATGCCAACTGGGAATTCCAGTCAGGAATTCCAACCGGGAGCAGCAATCCCAGCCGGGAATTCCATCCTGGGATCTGGGAATTCCAACTGGGAGTAGCAATTCCAGTTGGGAATTCCAGTCAGGAATTCCAATTGGGAATTCTAGCCAGGAGAGAGAATTCCAGCTGGGAATGCCAACCAGGAATTCTGTCCTGGAATCTGGGAATTCCAGCCGGGAATTCGAGCAGGGAGTGGGAATTCCAGCCCAGGATCTGGGAATTCCAGCCAGGAGCAGGAATT